CTCCTCCTCCTCGGCGATGAGAGAGCAGGTTCATCACGGCTGCCTCCGACGGCGACTTGAGCGCGGTCAAGACCTACCTCAAGGACGGGTTGGACGTGAACAGCCAGGACTGGGACAAGCTCACCGCCCTCGTAGCCGCCGCCTCGCAGGGTCACCTCAAGGTCGTCAAGCATCTCCTCGACAAGGTGAGTCGGTCAGGCATTTTTTTTTTTTTCTGTCGCTTGCAGAAGCAGTTTCTTACGAGGAGAACGGTTTGATCAAGGTGGTGAAGCTTCCCCTCCACGAGGTCAGGCAGTCGGTGACGAGAGGAACATAATTCAGATTTTATATATATATTATATTTATCTGACAAGAGCAATTTCTCCCAGAAGCAAGTACGATGTGATTAACGTGGGGAAGGTTATCGTTATCCTCGACAAGGTTATGTACAGGAGTCACGCAAGAGCAAAGGACCAGAAGAGTTTTTTTTTCTGCTCGTACCATGTAACAAATTGAAGGTCGTCTATATCCTCATGCATACGCATACGTTGACAGGTGGTATTTTTTTCTGTCAGCTTTCATTTTCCCCCCTTGGTAGGATTAGTTCCCATGGTTAATTCCCATAGTTCCTCCATGGCTATTTCCCATGGGTAAACCCTTCTGTTGTGGTCAGGGACGCGCTTCTCGACGGGTTGTCCTTCGTTCACCTATGCACGTAGTGTTTTTCTAGATTGGCGGGTGCTGGGAGGGCTTTCTCCCAGCAGCAATAGCGGCGAGAACACAAAACAGCGGCAGGACGGAAGCAGTGATCGTAAAAACTTGGCGCCCTCGTGGTTTGAGTCTCCGCTCCTCAAGTCTTTTTTTCGAAAAGGAAAGTAGAGCGTGCAGATTCACCACACGAGCAGCGGCGCTCTTCGACTTGACAGTGAAGACGTTCAAGCGACCATACTCTATGAGCTTCTTTCAACTTGGTTTACATGCCAAACATCAAATGAATGCCTTGGTGCTTTTTGGTGAAGACCAGAACGAACAGCGTTGTTAGTTATTTTCTACTCAAACGATTGCACGTTATGTGAAACATGTCTACAAGCATGGTGTGATGCTCGTTTTTTTATCGCATGTAGAACACCTCTTGCCCTTTGTAACGCTTCCTGCCCCACCGGCACAAGATCCCTCTAGACCAGCGTGATCTACTCGTTTCTTCGTGACAGCAGTCGCGACATCAGTGTTTGCGCAAGGGTCCTTGCGTGTATTTAAAAATGATGGGGTCATTGTCGTGAAAAGCATGTTTTTGTTTCGACTTCGGGGATTCCCCGTTGGGCTACAATACGAGAACGTGTTCCCTCTTGAGGAGGAAATTGTGCGAGGCTCGAAGCCCGCGTAGCGGATGGCAGAGGAAGATGTTAAACGTAGACGCAAGAGCGATGATCGTAAAAACTTGGCGCCCTCGTGGTTTGAGTCTCCGCTCCTCAAGTCTTTTTTTCGAAGAAGAAAGTAGAGCGTGCAGATTCGCCACACGAGCAGCGGCGCTCTTCGACTTGACAGTGAAGACGTTCAAGCGACCATACTCTATGAGCTCTCCATCCCCCCTCTCCACCACAGATTGTTCATGGTCGGGACACCGTTGCACCCCGAAGGCGCACAGAGCCTGAACCTGGCCACAGCTGTTTCTCAGATGTTGACTGACGTAGAAGGAAAGACACCACGAAAACCAAAGTTGCGGCTGTTGGTTTTGTGCCGCTTCGAAAAATGTCGGATGGGAGAAACAGCTATCGGTTGTTGGGTACATCCATCCATCCATTCATCCATCCATAATGGCGTGGCGACCGAAGTGTTTTTTCGCGTAACCCCATTTTTGCTTTTTTTTTTTCGCTTTGTTGCGGTTTGTATTTTGGCTTGGTCCGTCTCGTGAGAGTGTGATGATGTTGGCCTCTTGTTTCACTGCGAGATGCCCTTTTGGCATTTGCATTTGCCGAGCGTAGTAGACAGAGGTGGGCGAAAGGGGTAGAAACACGGCCTTGCGTGTGACCCCCCCCCCAGAACTCTGCCAGTACCACGCTAGCTGGAGGTACGAGAGGCTAATAGAAATTTTATTCTCCGTAACATGGGAATTGGATATCAGAATCTGGGAGATGGTTCTAGAGAAGGTAGACTGCGGTGTTTCTCTATTTACTCTCTCTGCTCGTATCGCTGTGTGAACGGTAACTCACGCACTGTTGATATCCCTAATTTGTGTGAATGGGACACGACGCCATCAGTAGCAGCAGCAGCAGCAGCAGTAGCAAGGAAGCAAGGATCGTAAAAACTTGGCGCCCTCGCGGTTTGAGTCTCCGCCCTTGGTCTTTTTTTCGAAAAGGATAGTAGAGCGTGCAGATTCGCCACACGAGCAGCGGCGCTCTTCGACTTGACAGTGAAGACGTTCAAGCGACCATACTCTATGAGCTTCTTCGCGAGCTGTTGTTGTACTGTGCATCGTTTTGGTTAGTGAAAAACAGCGCCCTTGGTGCCACCACAGCCTCCACTACCACCAACAACAAGAGGGGTTCCTGGGTAGCGACTTCTGAGTTTTTTTTGTGAAGACAACAGCAACATGGAGGCGGCAACAAGGATGTGTTTTCCATGTCTGTTGGTCTTGTCTTGCACGACACCGCAGGGTGCCGACGTGAACGCCAAGGACAAGGACGAGATCTCGGGACTGATGGAGGCCTCCATCATGGGGCACGTGGCCGTCGTGAAGGAGCTGCTCAAGGTAATAAAAACAGTTTTTGCGAGACAGGTTGGCGGTGTGTGATGCGAAGCAGGATTCAGGGTCGCCGTCGCTCCCTGTTATTGAAGCACCCCTCCCCCCCCCAATGAAGCACGACACCCCCCTCCATCCACGACGAATTCAGCGCCTGTGTGTAAGGATGTATGGATCAGCGCATAGAGATGCCACACAGGTCGAACATGTTTTTGATTACCGTTGTCAGTGTGACCCAGCGTCGTGCCGTGCCTCCCGAGCAGCGAGCAGAGGTGACGCGGAGTGATTTGCCTCGTTCGTTTGAACGTCTCGGGCGGGAGGGAGGGAGGGAGGGAGGGAGGAAGGGCAGAGGAGAGATTGTGCGTATTTGTTATACCCGTTGTCATCGTTGTTGTCGATTTTTTTTGCCTCTCGTTCTCTTGGAACTCGTGTCCTTCGCAGGCGGGAGCAGAGACAGGTGTATGTATGTCCTTGTTTGATACCGTTGTCGGCCTCGTCTCGCCTTGGTGCCTCTCGTCCTCTCGTCCTCTCGTTTTATTTCGGAATTTCCTCTCCTCCACAGGCAGAGAATGAGACATGTAGGTATATACAGTATCCTTGTTTGACACCGTCGTCGCGTTGTCTTGGACTTTTTTGCCTCCTGTTGGCTTGGGTCCCCTTCCTCCCGACACAGGCGGGAGCAGACAAGAGAAGAGATGCATGCCGTTGTTTGATGCCATTGTCGTCCTCGTCGTCGCCGTCGTGGCCGACTCGCGTTCTTTTCCGGCTCGTTCGCTTGGAACTTCCTCCCTTCGACACAGGCGGGAGCAGACTGGAGCTGTTTATCCTCATCCTTGTTTAATACCGTTGTCGTCGTCGTCGTCGTCGTCGACTTCGTCGTTGTTTCGCATTGTTTTCCGCCTCGCTCGCTTGGAACTCCCTCCCCTCGACACAGGCGGGGGCAGAGGTGGACGCGGAGGCGAAGTCCGGGGTGACCGCCCTCTGGCTGGCCTCCGGCGAGGGCCGAAAAGAGGTCCTCAAGGAGCTGCTCAAGAGCGGCGCGTCCGCCAACAACAGCCGCAGCGACGGGATCACGGCCCTCATGGGGGCCGCCGCAGGCGGGCACGGAGAAGTCGTTGAGATGCTTCTCAAAGCAGGTGTGGAGGTGGTGCTGTATCTACAATTGTATTTATTTTTATTGTTTTTTCGGCGGAGGTCGGTTAGCTTGGGCCTCGAGGCAGCTTGAAAGTTTTTTTTTTTTTCAGGGTGTGTATAATAGTAGTTTGCATCTTTTTTTCAAGAAGCAAGGGGCTGCGAGAGGTTTGTTTTTCAATTGGAAGTGAATATTTGCACAACAACAGCAATGCCAACATCGATAAAGATCAACACGACATGAGAAAATGAAAACCGCATCCAACACAGCAGTATTTCATGTTGCAACAGCAAACAACAAGCACGTTGAAGGTATTGCAGGGACAAAAACACCGAGGATACCAATAGCAGTATGTAGCAAAGCAGTAAGACATAAAAAGACATGAGCATCTGATAAGCAGCAGAAGCCAACGTGCAAAGGGTTGGGAAATGATTTAAGAAACCAAGAACGGACGTCGTGATTTTCCACTTGCCCGTCCGACGCGCCAAGGGCTCACTTTGAGGCGAGGCGGCTGGGGGTTGGGGGAGGGGGCTGAACAAGCCCCGTCCCCCCCCTCGCCGTCCCTCATTCCACTGAGGCGTTTTGTGTGCGGGGGGTGGGGGGTCCGGCACCAAAAACGTGACGGTCTTAAACGTTTACTAGGACTGATCCTTTACCCGGCACACACGCGCAACAGGCAATGCTTGCTTGCTTGCGTTTTGGCTTGAGTTTTTGTGGGTGACGTGTTATTTTTTTTTCCCTTGGTCAGAAGTATGGGTGTTTTGTGAAGCAAGGTCGCACACGTGCGTACAAGCGATTTCCGCGTCTCTATTGGTGAGGGTTGGTCGGGACCTTTTTGTTCTGTTTCTCTGTTTTTTGTCTTGTTGTTGGGAGGTGTCTTCGTGGCCCCGAATGTTCGTTCGTTTCGTTTGAAGACTCCAGGGGAGCATGGAGGAGGATGCTGTGCTGGATAGAGATTAGAGCGGTTTTCAATTGGCGTGAAGTAGATACCAGGACAACGTTTTTGATGTACTTTCGTGCGCTTTTTGGTTGCAGGTGTTGATGAAATGGCAACCACCAGAGGCTCCCCATATTCCACCCGTCATTACCTGAGCGCAAACGTGTTATTTCCACAGTTTTTTGTTTTTCTCTCCGCCGCGCTGCAGTCGTTACGCGCGGTACCTTTCGCCCTTGAAAATAGTGTCTCTGAACCCGTTCCCGCTAATCGTCTCCGAAGGAATTCACGGTATTTGGGGCCGAGGTTAGTAGGTTCATTTTTGCGTGTGAAGGTCGGGACAAAATGTGAGTACCCCCCGGCGTTTATCTCAACTACTTGGATGCCTATCGCGATTGTCTCCGCACGTTTTTCTCGCACGCCAAACAAGCACTAACAATATAAAATGAAATGCAGGGGCGGACCTCGCCCCGGCGCCCATGTTCCCTCTCTCAACGAGACCCCTACAATTACAATACGCGATCGCTTTCCGAGCTCCGTTGTTGTCTCGCACGCCAACACAAACCGCACCAACAACAACAATCATCAAAAACGCAGGGGCGGAAGTCGGCGCTAAGGACCACGACGACGTGACGGCCCTCATGAACGCCGCCGAGAGCGGGTCTCTGGAGGCGGTGGAGGCGTTGCTGGCCAAGGGGGCTGATCCCGGGTCGATGAGCACGACGGCCTTTACTCCCCTCATCGTGGCCGCCGCCGGGGGCCACCTCGACGTCGTCAAGGTGCGGGGCGGTGTTGGTGGTTTGTTGTTGGTGGTGGATGTGGCGTTGTGTTGGTGGGTGTGATGGTGGTCGTAGCTTGATGAAGTTGTTTGGGTGGTGGGTGGCGGTTGCGATGTTGTGATGTTTGTGTCTTCATTGATGTTGGGGGCTGCTGCAGGATCCCGCACTTGTGTCGTAGGTGACGTGGATGTTGGTGGCGGCCGGGGGTGTGTTGTGTTGTGTTGTGTTATGTTTGTTGTTGTTGTAGTGTTGTTTGGTTCTGATGACTCGGGCTCTGCAGTATCTTACCACGAGTTTTGTTCGTAACGCCGAGCCCCTTCTTTTTTTTTTATTGTTGCTGTTTTTTTTTGTTTGTCTCTAATGGGATATTTGGAACCCGCCAACCACATCACTTTGAAGCAAATGAAAAACAGCTATAGTGCGGCGAGAGAAGCGAACTGTTGAAGGACACGTTTGTTTGGTTCGCAGGTATCGAGAGACCCCCCTCTCTCGTGATGCCCTTCCGTGGGCTGCGTGGTCAACGCTCCGATACAAGCTCACCAGGAGCCCCCCCCCCCCGCCCAAGCGATTTTGCCCCCCATCTCACTCAGTCTGACAAGACATGCATTTCCTCTTCCTTCTGTTTTTCTGTTTAATGGGCGACAACAACAGGCGTTGGTAGCGAAGGGCATCAAGGTGGACGAGATGCACCCGGACGGCGTGTCGGCTCTCATGTACGCCTCCGCCGGCGGGCACCCGGAGGTGGTGAAGCTGCTGCTGGAGGGCAAGGGGCCCGGGAAGGCCGACCCCAACCTCAAGCACGTGCAGGTATGGACATGCGTGTTCGTAGTTTACGCAAGATATCACACCCCCTGGACCGATCTTTAGAGCTTCATTTCTCGGCAAGAAAAGCGGTGGAATCGTCTCGTAGAGAGCTTTCCACAAACGGATCATTTGATATCGGCAGCTTTTCGTCGTGAGAAGCCGAGCGTTGAAAAATTGTCAAGGGGGGAGGGGTATCTTCTGCAACCTATGCATACGGCATGCACCTGCGGCCATTCTGTTGACCCCACGAACAAGGATTTGCGGGTTCCATGAAAGTTTATTTTCCCGCGGAGGGTATGCACTCTTGGGAAATGCATGGGCAAGTCTGTTGTATCTACGCTCGGTATTTTTTCTGTCGTACTTGTCGTGTCTTTTTCGTTTGGTCTTGTTGGATGGCCTTGCGCATCCATATGTACATCCGTGCCAGAGGCGCGTACGGATGGGCAAGCTTTGCGATCATGTGCTCGGCACTAGGCCGTGTTTTTGATGCCCTTCCATCCCCCCCCCCCCCCCCCCACGAACAAGTCGTCACCTTGACGCCATGAAATAATTATGTTGTTTTTTCTCTTATTTGTGTCTTTTTTACCCTTGTTGGTGGTTTGTGTACGATTGATTCAATGTCTCAGGGGGGCACTGCGTTGATGGAAGCCGCGACCTCGGGCAGCCAGGAGGTCGTGGACCTGCTTTTGGCGGCGGGGGCGGACCCCATGGTCAGGGACAAGGACGGAGTCTCTCCGCTCATGTCCGCCGCAGCTCAGGTACGCGGTTCGCATTTTTTCGGGTATAGGGCGTACTCGAACGAAAATGCACTTGTTGCTGTTGCTTGTATATATATATATATCCTTTTTTTTCCATGTGGACGTTGACCTTGACCTTCTGAGAAGGAAACATGCCGATATACCGATGCTCGAGGTTTCAAGAGTCTTTTTCGACAGGCGCTTTTTTCAGCCATTTTGTCACGTCCAATCATTTTGGTGTCTCGCCCCCGGGGGATGACGCGTTCTCAACATGACGTATGATTTTCCGTTTTGGAGTTGGAGAATGGATGGAGGAGGATGGCTACTTATGTGCGTACTCACCACAGGTTGTAAGACGTTGACAAAATCGCAGTGATCGATATCATTGCGACCGCCTTCTCACTTGGCTGCTCTCTGGGGGGGTACCTTGTACGTGTTTTATTTTCTTGTTGTCCTCGCATCCCGGAACAAGAAGTTGCTAAATAATGTTTTTTCGATCTCGTTTCTTTCTTTTTTTTTTTAAATGTCTTCCCTTGCCAGTGATGATCTTTACAATCCTACTCTGAATTCCATTGGGCCGGAAAAAAATATACCGGTTGGCGATGCGGTGAATTGGGGCAGTGGGGAAGGGCGGTGCTGCTGTCGTTGTCTTTGAGGGGCCAAAATGGCCCCTCTGTTGGCTCGCACGAGGCCCCACCAATCCCCCTTTTCTGACAACACACACGCCGGTCGGTTTTTGTTTCTCCGGCTGTAACAAACAGTGGCACATGAAAAGGACAAACCATTACACACTTTTTTTCTGAGGCAATCGTGATTTTTTTTCTTGTTTTGTACAGCCGGCGTGAATGTGTAATACTTCAAGCATATCGTCGGCGTAATCTTGAGCGTTTTCAGTTCTCCCTCTGGCACTACAGTGACACAACCTCTGACACCACAGTAGTGGCAGAACCCGTTCTTTTTTATTGTTTTTGGCTTCGTTCTTTATCGCTCTCTCTTCTCGTCATGAAACCGCCACACGGCAGAGTTACCTTCCGTCGAGCACAGCATGAACAATGACTTTAGCGATCGTTCACCTTCCTTCTCTGTGTCACCCGCTACGCTGGTGCTTCGAAGAGTGAAATCTTGCCGCCTGCAATAAATGGACCGGAAAGTTCACACACACGCACACCCAGTAAGCGTGTTTGCGCGTTTCATCCCGCTCTAAGACTGATGTATCTTCATCGGCCAGCCGGTTAGCGCGCGGTCTATGCTTTCGCACTGTCATGTCGAGGCAAAGCTCCCCTCCCTCCCGTTTTTTTGCGTTTTCCTGAGCGTTGAGCCCTGTAGTCGGCTGTTTTTTTGTTTTTTTTTCTGCCGGTGATGATCTTTACAATCCTACTCTGAATCCCCTGGGTCGGGAGGAAAGGTGCCGGTTGGCGATACGATAAATTGGAGGAGTGGGAAACGGGCAGTGCTGCAGTTGCTGTCTTGAGGGGCCAAAATGGCTCCTCTGTTGACTTGACACAAGGCTCTGCTCCTCCCCCGCTCTTACAACGCATATGCCGGCCGGTTCCTTTTCTCCGGCTATAACAAACAGTGGCACATGAAAAGGACAACCATTACACACTTTTTTCTGAGGCAATTTCGATTATTTATTTTTTTTGTGCGTTCTATTCTGGATGTGTACATACATTCGCCATGACCTTGGGCACGTCTCCGTGTGACGCTATGTACTTTCAACGGCAGCTCCCTTTTTTGTTTTCTTTCGTCATTGCTGGGAGAGGCGCTACTGCTATTTCCTTTTGTATCCCTCTCGTCTCAGCCTTTTTTTGACCGGCACTGCTATTTCAGCATCGTCAATTCCGTTCTTTTTTGTCTTGGTTCCCCAATTTCGTGGTTGGTGTCTCACTTTCTGACCTCGTACCCCCCCCCCCCCTTCCCCGGGCGCGGGTCCCCCACCGTGGTCCTATCTTCGCTGTTCGCACACCCATGCAGGGGCGGACCGAGGCTTGCAAGGTTCTCATCGCCAAGGGCAACGACGTGAACGCCATGGCTAACTCCGGGGGCACCTCCCTCATGTTCGCCGCCGGCGCGGGGCACACGGAGGCCGCCGAGGTCTTGATCGCCGCGGGGGCCGACGTTAACGCCAAGCTAGAGGCGAAGCCCGAGTTCCTTGAGCAGGTTCGTTCGGCCTGCCCGTCGCTTTGCGTTGGTTGTTGTTGTTGTTGTTGTTGTTGTTGTTGTTGTTGTTGTTGTTGTTGTTGTTGTTCTGCTGACCTAAACGGAACCTAGACAGAGCATTGGTTTGAGCTAGTCGCGCTTGCCCATGTACCCAAATCCGCTTCACCGTATCGTCGTGCAGCCCACGCCAGCCAGCTGGCCTAAATAGACAGTTCATGTGTTTTAGTCGCGTTTGCTCTTCTACCCAATCCACTTTGTCGTTTTCCAGCACCTATCGACTGCACTCATTGCGTACCCCCACCACATACGTGAATGCCCATGCTTTGGTTGTTTCAGCTCGTTTCTCCGGCCAGCTGGCCTAATTAGGCCATTTGTTGTTCGGGAATCAATCGTGCTTGCCTTTCGACCCAATCCACGTTTTCTCGTTTTTCGACCCTATTTTTCCTTCTGTCTCCCCCCCCCCCAAAACCCCCAAAAAAAAAAAAAAAAAAAAAAAACGGGTGGGGGTTCCGGTAAAGGTAAACGCGGTTAAACCCGCCAAAAAAAAGGGGAAGGGGGGGAAGAAACAAAAGGAAAAAAAGGCCAAAAGGAAAAAGGGAACCCCCCGAAGGGGGGGGGAAAAGGGGGAAAAAAAGGGGGGGGGAAAACGGCGGGGGGGAAAGGGGGGGAAAGTAAGGGGAAAAAAAAAGAAGGGGTTAACCCCCCCCCCAAAACCCGCAAAGGGAAATTTGGAAAAGGGGGGGGGGGGGGGCCCCTTGGGGGGGGGGGGGGGGAAAAAAGGTTTTTTTTTTGGAAATTTGGGAAAGGGGGGGGGGGGCGGAAAATTGGGGGGGGAAAAAAAA